GCTGCAGAGCAGCAGAAGGTATAGTTCCATAGAATGGGGAAGCTGGAAAGCTGCAACAGGCACATCTCCATAGAATGGGGGAGCTGGAAAACTGCCACAGGTACATCTCCATAGAATGAGGGAGCTAGGAACAGCAAAAGGTCTATATTTACAAAATAAAGAGAAGGAAGCCTTTCATCCAGAAGGAGAAGGAGAAACCCCAAAGGTAATAGGAAAACAACAAGAAAGGAGGGGAGGAAAAACCTCATGTGTCCCAAGTGAGGTTCCACCTTTGAGCTCAGGAGTTACTGTGGTAACCAGCCTAAGGGAATAGTGAGCAATCAGAGGGGATATCATGGCACCAAGATCTGCAGTCTTTATAAATCATGGAAAAGGGAACTCTGCGGGGCCCTTTTCCCCTCCCCACGTGCGAGTCTACTTGTTCTTTAATAAGTTTTCACCTTTGCTATATCACCTCTGTCTGTGGATTCATTCGTTGACTCCGATTGACAAAGAATCCAGGACATCATGCCCAGTCCAAAAATTCTGCTTCACTACCTTTTAGAAATACTGATTTTAAGCTTTTTTTTTTTTTTTTTAAACAAAAGACTTAGAAAGAACCTTTGATCCTCCCATTTCCTGCCTCAGAGATTTAAATGCAAAGGGCTACTCTAGGAAGGGAATCTTAGGATATGTCTTAGTCTAATTTGGATTCAGTATGATGGGTGAGAGGGTTCAGGCAGGGATACCCTGTTACCTAGATACCCCGTGCCCCATTGATTCTGAGTGGCCCAGCAACAATCTGCCTGCCATGTGTGTTCTACGCTTCCTCAACTTCCTGTAAATTGCCCATTGTCACTTCCAAAATCCATGTCCCCCACTTTTCTTCTTTGTCCAAAATGCCATATACTATTATACTCAATGGTGCTTTACTGCCTTTGGAATTTTTATGCGTATGTGAATTACTCGTGCGCTTGTGAGAGACCAGTCGGGAGCCGAAAACCAGGATTACAGGCTTTATTAGGGGGAAAAAGACCTGCCGGTCTGTCTTGGAAGGGGAGAACAGCAACCCATGCAGAGGTGAACACACCTTTTGAGGGGCAGAATGGGAAGGAATGGGGGCTTAGTGTACTCAGCATGCACTGATTGGTGGCTTAACGTATGGTCCATATAGGAACAAGGGCTTAGGGTATTTGGCAGGTATTGATTGGTGCTTCAATGTATAGTCCATATAAGGTACATAGTCACTCAGGTATTTCCGGGCTGCAGGTTACATCATACTCCACCCACCAATTGGGTGAAGGGAGGATCTATCAGTTTGTATTAAAATTTCATTTTTTTCCCTGTTAACCTATCTGTTAATTTGATTAGTAGCCCAGCTAGAAGACCTTAGAACAGCGGTTCTCAACCTATGGGTCACAACCCCTTTGGTGGTTGAATGACCCTTCCACAGGGATCGCCTAAGACCATCCTGCATATCAGATATTTACATTATGATTCATAACAGTAGCAACATTACAGTTATGAAGTAGCACTGAAAATAATTTTACGGTTGGGTCACAACATGAGGAACTGTATTTAAAGGGCCAGAAGGTTGAGAACCACTGCCTTAGAAGGTGGGAGCAAAAGTATTATTATTATCATTATCATTATTATTATTATTATTATTATTATTTAGCTCCCATACATGAATGTCAGTAGCTCTGTAAGAGCATTCACAGATGGAACAGCAGTCCTAACGGAAGTGGCATCATATATAAGATTGGGATGGTGACCCTAAAAGAGGGACAAAGGAATCTATGCAGGAGAAAAATTTTGGTTGAGAATGCAGACAAGTTTCAATGTAGAGAAGGAAAGGAATGAAAGCCATAAAGCTGCTTTAAAACTTGAAGGGAAAAGTGGATTTTTACTCACCAGAAAATCACTTGTCTTGTGCCACAAGGTTTAGAGACAAGTCAGCCTTGCTGGGCAGTTCACCTAGGGAAAAGGCTGATACCACCACATTGAACTGTACCTGAGGACCAAGACAAAGAACATGACAGACCTGCCATCTCCCCCTTCCTAGAGCACAATAAAATTCTATCTTCCTAAATGTATTCTGTTGTCTTTTATCTTCTAACACTCATTGCTGGTTTGCAAAGCTGAGGCCAGTTTTCAGTCTGCCAAATTCTATATTTAGCATACTCCACATATTGCCACTTGCTTTAAGTGGTACAGGTAGAAACTGTCTGAAAAAGACACCTGGTACCTACGGCTTCCTATTTTCTGAACCACCTATGGAGGAAGGCACAGGTGTGGCAACTGTGAGTGTGTAGGTATAAACTGAAGTTATACCCTGATAAGAACGTGGCCCTGAGAATAAAGAAAAATGCTCAGTGAGAGTGAGATAAAGGAGGATGAAAGGGTTCAACTGGCCTCCTCTGCATTATTTTGAGCTGAAGGCAATCGAGATTCTGTGGGCTCAAGAAACATTTTTTACCTCTCCTTAAAAAAGTTTAAATGGAGGGTCTTGCCCATAGTTAGAGTTATTACCAGAAATAACTTTTTATGACCTATCTGTAGGGCAGGGCAAACTTATTACTGAACATCTGCTCTTTTTATCTATCTGAGTAGTCCCCTCCTCCCCTCAGAAGCCTCAGGGTACCTTACCTAGTTCTTTAGTTCAGCGGTTCTCAACCTGTGGATCACGACCCCTTTGGGGGTCGAACGACCCTTTCACAGGGGTCGCCGAAGACCATCGGAAAACACATATATAATTTACATATTGTTTTTGTGATTAATCACTATGCTTTTATTATGTTCAATTTGTAACAATGAAAATACATCCTGCATATCAGATATTTCCATTACGATTCATAACAGTAGCAAAATTACAGTTATGAAGTAGCAACGAAAATAATTTTATGGTTGGGGGTCACCACAACATGAGGAACTGTATTAGAGGGTCGTGGCATTAGGAAGGTTGAGAACCACTGCTTTAGTTGTTTGTCACATATACCTCATTTTACCTTTCTGTCTCTGAACCTCTCCTATATACGGGTTTCTGTATATCTGTATGTAATTAAGTTTTATTATTTTTTTCTTGTTAATTTGCCTCATGTCAATTTAATTATTAGACCAGTCAATATAACCTAGAAGGGTACAGAAAAATTTTTCCCTCCCCCACAAAGGTAAACAAATATTAAAAACACAGGGAAAATATTGGGTCACCTGTCATGTTAATCTTAACCAACATATCCACTTGAAATGTGTTTCAAAATGTATCTTTGAGAAAACCTTACTGAGCAAGATTAGGCACTGTAGGCCAGGGGACCGATTTTTTCCTCTTGCTGCTATGGATTCCTGGGAAATATTGGGTTGCTCCCTCTCTGAATCAGGGTCCAGGATGAACACAACAGAAGTGTGGCTCTCTTGAGAGTGGGGTCTATTACCTGGGGTGGTCTGTGATAACAGCTGAAAGGAAAGCCTATCTCTTGGGACAGGAGCAAAGCTACTGTTTGGATAAAAGGGCACATGGGTGTCCGTTTAAGGACAGGCTGAGTGATCCGGGGCCAGCTAAAAGGTACACCATTTATACCTATTTAAGGCCAAAGGGAGAGACCTTGACCTCTGTGCAGGTTTGGGGTAAGACTTGTGCAGTAAGTTATAAGAATATTTGGGTTCCCAAGATTATAAGACTTGGTGGTGAAATTGACATTCACAGGAGCCCTGGAAGGCTGCACTCAGAGCCCACGTTTTATAAAGTAGTAGCGTAAGTAGGTATGAAGTTTTCATTGTCACATTTATTCAGTCATTTTCTCCTGAACATAAGATACTTTAACAGAAGGTGCTTCTAGAACCCAGCTAGGCAGAGTTTACTAAGGCACCCCGATTGGGAGGGGAAGGAAGGGCATTCACGAGAGAGGCATTAACTTAAAATGTACGGATATTGCTAAGACAGGCAGCGTGCAGATAACCGATCACAAGGCAGTAAGGCATATAAACCAATTCAAAGGATATTGCTAAGGCAGAATTATTTGAAAAGACCAATTAAGAGTTAGCAAGACTACCCATCCTCTAAATTAAAAGGTGAACACTTCTTCTCGCTCTCTCTCTTCTCCCTGGAACTACAACGCAATAGGTTCCTGACATTCATTCCTGTGGCAGGGGAGCACATCCTTGCATCCACGTGGGTTATGGCCATATGGGCCTCCACACATGGACTATTAGACTCTAATTAGCTTGGGAACTAAACTACTCCCAACTGTAACGTGGAAAGGAAGTTCCTCACACTGGCTTGTTCTTGGAACCCCAGCTACACTTTTTCCAGGACTGGCTGCCCCCAATAAACTTTGGTTCCATTAATCGTTTTTGTCTGGGACTTCATTCTTCGATTTTCAGGAGGCATGAACTGGGGCTCAAACAACACCCACATTTTTGGTATCAAAGTTATATATAACATCATGTAGTCATAATGTAAAGGCTAGTGTAAGGACATAACATAAATAATGGGCTTTGAATTAAAATTCTCATTATCTATTATACTAGTACTTTATTAAAATGACCTACTTTATGAAGATAAGGAAGTTGTCATGCTAAATGACATATGTGAGTTATAAAAATAATTGAGGG